AGGGCTGGGGGTAGGGTGAAGGGTAGGGGGGCAGGGGTGGATAGGGGGACGGGTTTGGGGGTTGGGTAAGTGTAGAGTAGGCATGGGCTTGGTAGGGTAACGGGTAGGGGGCGGGGTTTGGCCGGGGGCCTAGCACCTCGGGGCTAGGGTTTGGGTAGGGTGAGTTCCAGGAACTTTGGACGTCCGTTGGTGGTCGTTGTCTTGAACCGCCGTTTGAGCGCCCTCGACCACGTCCCCGATTGCCGTTTCCACGCCCTTGTCTGCGTCCATAGCCTCCACGCTGTCCGGAGGAGGAGCCATCGCCATAATTGACGCCAAAAAACCGATCCCCACTGCCGCCGTGAGGAGGGCCGCGGCTGCCACCGCCGCCGTGCTGGTTGCCGCTGCCGGCGTCCCAACCTGCCAGCAGCACCGTGCTGCTGGTTCCGCCCAGTGGAGTCCTCTGCCGATCGAGAAGGAGAAGGGCCGACCGTACTTGGAGAAAACTCGGCAGAGGATCCTGAAATTGGAGAAACGAAGTTTGGGCTTGTAGATCGTTAGGGAGGCCACGCAGCATCTGGAGTATTAGTTGGTGCTCAAACACGGGGGCATCAACGTCATCTAACCAATCCACAATATTCCTGAGCTCTTGACAATATGCAGCCATGGGGGTAGATCCTTTGACGGTGGTGCGAAATTGATGCTCGAGTTGCATGGCTCGAGCATTCTTATTGTCGTGAAACAAATCATGAATCATCGTCCAGAGGGAAGATGCAGTAGTGACAGAAGAGAGAACGAGATCGGACACCTCATCTGTGATGTTGGAGAGAATCCATCCCTGGAGGATAGCATCAAGTTGAAACCATTCGTCGTCGTCGTCGGAGATGGGAGCAATAGAGCCTTTGAGATAGCCATGGAGATTGAACCGCCGTGCAAGAAGGAGGAACAAGCGGCTCCACTTTTTATAGTTTGGTTGAGAAAAACTGAGTTGAATTGGAACATGAAGTTTGACATTTGAGACGAAGAAAGCAAGATGGGGAGGTTTTGGGCTGGAGGATTGAGATGTGACCTCACTGTCCGTCATGGTAGAGGAGGAGCTGCCGGCCGAGGGAAGAGGGAGGGGGTGCGGCGGCGCTGCTGTTCGGCGAAGGAAGGAGGAGGCCGAAACAAAGGGGAGAGATTTTTAGGGTTTTTAGTGTGGCTCCGATACCTTGAAGAAATTGTATTTTCATTGATTAATTATGTGAGGAGTACATGTATATATATACAACATCTCAATCCTAGTTATGGTAGGAGAGGTATTCTAGGAAAGCTATACAAGTATGGAAACAAATCATAATACAATAATATTAAATATATTTAATATATTTAACACAATAACTACCAACATGATCTTTTGTAATTAAGAAGTATTTCCTAAATAATAATATGTTAAAAATGCTTATTAAGTGATAGTTAAATAGAGAATATTTTTGTATTATCAATCATCAATTATGAATAAGTCTTCAAAATGGCATTTTCAAATTAAGTGAGTGGCTGCTAGAGAACTGGGCCCACTCTGAGTAGGCTCATCTCCAGTTTGGAAAAATATTTTTTTAGAAATTATCAATTTAAAAAAAATACTTACGTTGTGTTTGGGTGGAGGTAGGGTGAGGTTAAGTTGAGAAGTTACCATGTTTGGAAGTGAAATGTGAGATAGGTAAGAGGAGTTTGAGAGAGGTATGTAAGAGCACTAGAAATACTTTTGAAGCCCCGGGGCTTCAAACCTTCATTTTTTACATTTTTAAATTTACATCTTCTAAATTTAAATTAATAAATTTTAATTAATTTATCATTTAAATTAATCGCTATGAGACTAGTGCATTAAAAAAATTACATTCATTAAAAAAATATTACATTCAAAAAAAAATACATTCATAAAAAAATTACATCCATTAAAAAAATATTACATCCAAAAAAACAACAATATAAAGAAATTACTAATTATTCGAGCGACTGAAGATATGTTCGATCACATCCTCCATTAGTACATTGTGAATCTCTCGGCTTCGAATTTCTTGGCGGTTTCTTTGTTTTTTTTCGTTGATTTCTTCGTACATAGGCACCTTCCCATCCGGATTGTATAAACAAATCGCAGTCCCGTTGTTCTTTATGATTATATTATGAAGAATATTACATGCATACATGCTATTCCTCATTTTCGTTTGAGAAAAACATTTCGACGGTCGATCTAGAATGTGCCATTTACCCTTCAAGACCCCGAAGGCTCGTTCAATATCTTTTCTCTCCGCCTCTTGAGCTTTTTTGTAGGTTTGGCGTTTAAGACCCATTGGTTTGGAGAGGGATTTGACAATCGTGGAATAATCTGGAAATATTCCATCGGCCAAATAATATTCACACTTGTAAAGCGTCCCTCTAAGCTCAAAAGACGAGTCGGGTGCAGTCTCATTAATCCAATCGTCAAAAACAGGCGATTGATCGAGAACATTGATGTCGTTGTTCAAGCCCGCGACACCGAAAAAACCGTGCCAAATCCACGAGTCATTTGAAGCAACAGCTTCGAGCATGATAGTAGGGTTGGGATGATCTCCCCGGGAGAATTGACCATGCCACGCAGTGGGACAATTTTTCCATTCCCAATGCGTGCAATCAATAATCCCAAGCATGTCGACAAAGCCGTGTTTAGCGGCATGCCTTGCCTGTAACTGATGAATGTCGCTCGTTGTAGGCTTGCGTAAATATCTTTTATGATAAATTTGAATAATAGCTTTAGAAAATTTATAAACACAGGTCCTGATGCTCCGAGACGACATCTTCAAGTATTCGTCGAACATATTATCAGATGCCATCCCGTACGCCATTTGACGGAGCGTGGCAGTGCACTTCTGGACACTACTAAACCTGCGTCGGCCTCTCGCATCAAAGCGTTGGGTGAACCAAGGCACCTCACATTCAACATCGGCGAGTATGCGTAAAAAGAGAGGACGACTCATCTGAAAATGATTACTAAAATCCTCTGGTGTATAAACACACGGAGTATTAAAGTAGTCGTTTAGAAGTGAAGCGTGGGCGGCCGCTCGATCCCGGTTTAAACGTTGTCGTCAGGTCCGTCGTCGGGAGGATTCGGCTTCTTCTTCTTCGCCTTGTTCCCACCATTCAACACAACTCGTGGCGAAACGTAACAACGAAAAATGAGAGCTCTCTTTTCATCGTCGGATGAAAATGATCCCATTTTTAGAATATATTTTATAAATATTTATAATAAATAATCAAATATTTGAAATATTGATAGAATTGTAGAGAAAAGATAGTGAGAAATGTGTGAGAGAGTTTTTTTAGGGGAATTTATAGGTTTTTTTATTAATTTAGAATTTTTTTTATTATTTGGGGG